GGACACTTCCAGAGCGCAGGCCGAGCGGTCTGCACACGCGTTTTTATTACATTACAGATTTACAGTAGAAAAGAAAAGAAAGACGTTAACGCCTCCTAGGCAGGTTCGTGTCTGTGCCCGCTGGCGAGGTGAGCGGGGCGGAGAGGCCCCAAGACTGTTACTCACGGGGCCGGTGTCACTGCAGACGCTGCGGCCATGAAAAAGGTAAGCAAAGGTAAGCGGACACACAACGGTGAGTGAGAAAGTCCGGCACTGGCAGCAGCCAGCAGCAGCAGGTCTTTTATCAAAGACGTGGCTTTGCAGGTGGTGTGAGCTAACATCCGAGCATCAGTCCAATCTGACGCAAAGTCGTGCAGAGACCAGTATTAGGCAGAAAACAATCCGCCGCTCCAGCGCCACTACTCCCAGGTCACAAGGTAACCACATGTTTTAAGAGATAAACATCCCCCCGTCCATTGTTTTTAATGTAAAGACATACTCTGTATTCCTCGTGGGTCAAAGAAAACAACCGCTATCAGCATTTTAAAGGGTTTAGAATTTTTTGGGGGGGGTTTGTCCAAAAGAAATTTATTTACTCACAATTCTGAAGGCTGAAGATCTGGCATCACAGGGTTGGCAAGACTGTTCCCTCCAAAGGTTCTAGAGGAGAATCATTCATTATCGCTTCCAGCTTCTGGAAGCTCCAGGCTACTAAACCTCAGTCTCTGTCTCCAAATAGCTGTTTTACCTGTCTTCTCTCTTTTTTTTAAATAGACTGTTATTTTATAACAGTTTATTTTTACACCATTTTGTACATTTTTTTCCCTCCATCTCAATTATAATCCCCACGGGTTTCCCATCACCATGTCACCCGTGTGCCATCACCATAATCCCATGCACTTCCTTCCCCGGGTTTAGAATTTAATTCTAATAAATTTAACATGTCAATACTTGTGAGATGCAGTAAACAGAACTAAAGTGAAATGGTCACAAATACTGATTATTGCTTAGAACAGCCAAGTGTAAAAATGAATAAACCAAACCTCTAACTCAAGAAAGGGATAAGGCAAAAGTATTTTAAATCCAATACAGATTAGCTCATGTTTTTAAGAGCATACGATCATCTACATTATGTCAACACATCTGAAAACTTACAAAAATGCGTAAATTTCCAAAATTATGTAACATCAAAAGTGTAGAAGAATAAAAAGTAAATAATTCTACAGCTAATGAAGAAAGCCATTCACTACTGATTAGCAATCCAAATGTTTCGCACACACAAACTAACTGGAAACAGGCAAAGACTCTCAGAAGAAAGTCAGCACCCTACGTGAGGGGGACCCGAGCGCACCCCTTTGTCTGCAGGTCAAGAGAAAGGCCCCACAGTGCGAGGCTGCGCGGTGACCCGCGAGGACGCCAGAGGCCCGAGAGACGAAGCACTGGTCACCCGAACACAGTCATCCCCTTATGTCTAACCCTAAGCTTAAAAAAGTCTTTGCATCGTCAGAGAAAATCTTGTCAAGAAAAGTAATTTCAAAAAATCAGTGTGGTCAGACCACTAGGTAGCACAGCCACGGAAACAGCGTTACCTCTGGAGCCCCAGGGCGATTTAGTATCAGGAAGTCTAGTATTTCCTAATATTGGACGAGAGGAGAAAGAATATATCACTAGAGACAAAAAGAAAAAAGACAACATTCAATCATCTATTAATGATTAAAACTCCAAGGCAACAAAGAACTCAAGAGACTTTGTCTGATGAAGAGCGTCTCTAATAAACGCTCAGAAGAAAGTCAGCACCCTACGTGAGGGGACCTGAGCGCGTCCCTTTGTCTGCAGGTCAAAAGCTGGCCCATGTCACCATTTGTATGAATGTTGTGTTCAAAATTCTGCCTATGGAGGAAAAAAAATAAAGCTTTAAGTTTTATAAGAGAAAATAAAAGTCTATTTGCTAATAAGGTTTTTTTTTTTTACAAAAATATAAACTAGTAATTAACTAGCAGTGGAAACTAAGAGCTATATGCAAAAGAAACCTGTATTCCAGATGTCAGAAACAACTGGAAAACATTCTGACGAGATCTATGAAGATCAGTAAAAAGTACATCATGAAATAAATGTAAAAGGCACAGAAGATGTAAAACTTTATAAAAGACTTTTAGAAACTAAATAAATGAGGGCACTTCACCGGGAAGAGGAGCTATTTTTATATCTATGCCAATCATCTGCTAATTGAGGTGATATTCATGCAGTTTCGCACGAAACATGAAAAGGTTTTCCATGTATGGCAAACTGATTCCAAAGTGTATTAGGAAAACGAAGGACCCGGTGCGCCCGCGCCTTCCGGAAGAGGGCAGGCGAGGTGGCGGCTGCCCGTGCACCTGGATGCCGCCACCCCCGTCCCACGGCGCCGGGCGCACCCCACGCCCAGGGCCAGACACACGCACAGCTGCGGTCACGACTCAGCCGCTGTCGATCCATCTCCCAGAGGGCCGTGGCTGGCGGGAACCGGACAACGGCCATTCGTCCGAGAGGAACCGAAGCTATAGTTAGGCTTTCCCGTAAGTCCTGCACGGCTCGCGCTGAGCGCTTCTCGGAATGCGGTGTCCTCCGCCGCTGGTCACGGCGCAAAGGCCAGGCACTGGGGACACCGCCGGCGCTGGGCGGCACGCTCACGCCCCGAGGCCGGCCCGGGCGGCCGAGCGCAGCCACGCGGGGGCCTCCGTAGCCCTCATTCACGGTGGCAGAGGCCACAAAAAGTCCCGAAGCCACAGAGGGCACACAGCCTGTCGCAAACAGGCGAACAGCCAGCTCGTGCAGAATGATCTTACTGCTGCAGCACCAGGAGAAGGAAGGGAGGCCCCACAGCCCACGCTTCCATTTTTTTATTGGGGACATTTTCAACCCGCGGAAGAGTAGAGACTAGCAGGAGCCTGTGCGGCCAGTGACGACCAGGTCGCGAGCACCTGACTTCCCGGACCCCACCCACCGTCCTGCACATGGTTCCGCAGCGCCTCGTGGTGTCGTCTTACCCAGAGCCACTGGAGCCCGCACGTGACACACAAAGCTCTGCCAGACGCGCCACCAGGCGATTCTGAGTTGTTTTTAAAATCAGTATCGACTCCTCCTTCACACAAGTCCAGCAGGCGTTCCAGCGACTCTGTCCTCTTGACCTACGAGTGCGGCACACACCAAATCCACAAACAGCCACAAAGCTGTCGCCAACGCGAGAGGACAGTGCGCAGGCTGCGCTGGGACCCGGCGCAGGAAGCTGATGGCACACTGTGCGCCACGGGGCGACCGTGTGGGGCGCTGGGCGCAGCCCCTCCCACGAGAAAGCTGGCAGCCTCTCCCGCGCCCCCACGCAGCAAGGAAGCCGAGCCTGCAGCCGGCGGCCGGCGGGACTCGGGGTCGTGCGCAGGGACAGCTGGTGGGCACAGCGCAGCCGACACCACACAGCCGCTGCCTGCTCTCTGCCCCGGGGCTCAAAGTGAGGTGCCCGGGAACTGCACCAGGGCGGATATATCACGCTCCAAGAACAGCAGGAGCAGCCGAGAGCGGGCAGGGACGTCCCTGGACATGTCTCCCAGGCCGGAGCCCGCTGTGTGCGGCAGGGCCCGGCCACTCGCCGGCAGGGTCAGGGCGAGCACCGCGCACTTCCGAGGAGCTGGCCCGCGGGGTTTGGTCTTAGCCAACGTGTCGGTGTGGCCCCGCCGCACCCGAGGGCTCCCCGAGCCTCCTGCCCCCACCAGGCAGTCTCCGGCCTCTGAGCCCCGCCCCGCCCTGCCCCGGCCCCGCCCTGCCCTGGCCCTGCCCTGCCCCGGCGCCCGGCCTGCAGTCGCGGCCACAGGGATTCTTTCGACGACCACGCCGCTTGCATGTCCGTGTCCCCTGCGTCCACTGCCCGGCGCCCCACACGTCCTCAGAAGGCCCCAGAGCGAGCGCGAGGCCCTCGGGGCGCACAGCCGCCACCGGGCCTGAGCTCTGGGCCG